CTATATGTAACTTTTTTCCAGCCTCCTGGTTATTTCCGTCTCTTAGGTTTAAACATTGTCTTCAGAATTCCGTTCTCAGACTTCATCAGTGAATGTTCTTCGCACAGACCAAGTTCATTTGTTTAGTTCTCTCTTGACATCGTCTTTTCCACCCCTCCACACCTTCCACTTTAGAGTTTATTCTTCCTTGCTATTTCCTTGCAATTTTGAGAAATTAATTTTCCTTTCTCGGTGATCTCTTTGTCGCCTATCCATATTAATTTTAAGTCTGACTTTCGGCGTATAAAGGATTTGAGATGTTTGTTTCCATGCTTCATTATTCTGAAGCCGGAACAAGAGAGAGACAGAGAGAGAGAGTTAGGAAGGAGAGTAGAAGAGAAATGATGGGGGAGCAGTGAAAGACACGTTATTCTTAAAAGTTTTCTTAGATAATATTTTAAAATGCAGTTACTTCAAAGAAAACAGAATCTATCTACATTACAAGAATAATCTTGTTAATGCTGTCTAAGGAAATGATCGTTGTTTATTCTGACAATCATATCAAACTCATAAATAAACTCTGCTGGAAAAATTGTAGACGTACTGAATATAGAATTATGTGGTTTATAAGTAGCACGCTTTAAAATTTTAATGTACCTTTAAAATAAAACTGAACTTTACTAAGCAGGATTTGAGGTTTTAACGGTGGTTCGCCAGAAGATGGCTCTCTTCTGGGTTGTCAGAGGCAGGAAGGACCTCTGAAACGATGGTAAACTACTACCAGAGCACACGGCTACAACCCAGAAGACGGCCATCTTAAAAATGGATGGTAATCAGTCACAATCCTTGAAAAGAAGGATAAGAAGAATTGTGTTGTATTCTTGCTGTGGCAGCAATGTCTTAGACCTTCAGAGAGACATAAATTCAACCCCGCGTGGTCTCTTGTGGGTACCAGATTAAAACTCCGCCCAGTTTCCGTCGTGGCTCACTTTTGCATTGCACAGATCGACACAGTTTCACTCTGTGGCAGGGTTCAAACTCCCTTTTCTCTGAAATGGCAAACCACACAAGCCGTGTATGTAAATGAAGTTTGTTTACACTGAATTTCAACTTGTTCCTTGCTTCATTATCTAGGTCTCGGTACGCATGACACATGATGTAAAATTTAAGGTTCAAACGTCGTCGAATGTGAATATGAATGTCTTTTAGGTTGTAGCGTCGTAGATTTTTACCATCATCGCCCTGATGATGGAGATAGTAAGGACCTCTGAAACTTAGGTAACCTTCTACCAGATTACACGGCGCAACAACCCAGAAGAAAATCTTCTTCATGTTATGTATCGTGTTGTGTGCGTCTTTGGTTCCCATAACCCAATTTTTCCCATAAGGTCTTAACTTCGCTCATCGCGGTTTTACCGTCAGTGGGAATTTTCAGGAGCACAACCTCCACAAACCCTGAGAATGCGCTGTAGTCAGAAGACGATAAAATACGACTTTACGCAAATAATATTTACATTCGCCTTATTTTTCAGTTCCGCCATATATATTCTCAAGTAACATAGAATTTCATATTCTTTTTTGCGTTCCCTCGTTTATGTGCAGCTGGAACACGACAAAAAACCTAATCACGGTCGATGAAAACGAAGTCTCTAATACATTTTAGACTAGTCTGTGTTGGCGTGTGTAATCTTGGCAGATGTCACAACTTTTTCCCAGTCTACATATTGAGAAATCATGACTATAATTAAGCGATTTACGAAATTACTCCCTCAAACATTGCACTTGAGAACAGGATGTGCTGAAATATTTTGTTGAGAGGGGATTAGGCGTAGGGAATTACGGTCTAAGTTCGTTCATCCTTTAGACACACTGACGTACTCCAGATGTCTAATACGTGCAGATTACAGCACGTGATCAGAAAGTTTCGATCTCTCGACACGAATTGTTACAGATTTAGATGTCAGGAAGCCAAATGATTATAATTTCACAAGGGGATTTCTGTTAGACTCCCAGCGTCTAAATTGTATTCCCGGTTGGAATCATGGCTAACACGCAACACTGACGTCAGTTCTTTGTCAAATTCCTCAGTTCTCCCAGGCCGAATAACGTGATTACACATGCAAGGAGGCCATAACCGCTTACTTCCAAATCCCTCCCCATTCACAAGTCAACATCATCTTCTCACCTCAGATGATGACATACAATTTCTGTAGTTCAAACAACAACACGAAAATATTCATGAATGAACAATTAAGAATTAACATATTGTGACCTCATAAAAGTTAGTTCAAGTTCCACCAGAAGAATGAAGTGATATTTCAAGTTTTCACAGTTGCGAGTCTGAAGATGGCTGTCTTCTGGGTTGTAGCGCCGAGCAGTCTGGCAGAAGCGACGTTTCAGAGGTCCTAGCTGTCTCAATCAACAAGGTGAAACAGGGCGAATCGTCCTGATGATGGAAGCAGGAAAGACCTCTGAAACGCTGTCGAACTTCTACCAGACTACACAGAAGACAGCAATTGTTTAGTAGACGTTGATCCTGATGTTTCGGATTTGCATACTGCTTCCATGATCAGGGCTGACGAATCGTTAGTCAACTTCTATGACTCTATAAGAATTTGTGTTAATAGAAATTCGTAGAGTTTGAATTATATCGCCATAATTGTATATGAACAACAAATATAAAAATTTACCAGTGCAGTTTCATAGTTTAGTAACAAGGCAGTGTCATACCCAGAGGATGGAGAAAGTTACATAATGCTGACATCTTCAGTTTGTACTTTGTAACAATATTACGTAAGTGTTCAAATCAAAGTTAATGAGAAAGGCGGGGCATGTAGCATGCATTAGTAAGTAAGAAATATGTAAAAGAATTTAGTCCAAAAGCCTGAAAGGAAAAAAAGACCATTATAGAATGTGGGAGTGGATACTTGGATAATATTAAATTGGTTCGTGAAGAAATAATGTATGAAATGTGAACTGGATTAATCTGCCTCTTGTGGACAAGGTAATATGAGATGATATATGTCGCAAATCAAAATTACATCCACAAACAAATTAAGAGTGGCTTTAATTCAGAGAATAATTAACACCACTCAGCTCATAGCCGTTTGGTTTCTCGTCTCTTGTTGAAAGTAATAAATTTCAGAATGTGTTTTTGGTCATTTTATCTGGATGTGAAACTTTGTCTCTCACAATGAGGGAAAGACATTGGTTGTGGATATTTGAGAACACGGCGCTGAGCATAATATTCAGACCTAAGGCAGTGAAAGTATTAAGAGTCTAGACGAAATTGCATGTTGAAGAATTTCATAATTTTCATTCTTCACGAAATATTAGCATAACCAAAGGACGGAGGGCGAGATGGAAGGGGAATGTAGCAACTACGGGACAGATGAGAAATGCATATGAAACCTGTTGAGTCTAAGCGTACATGAAAGGATAATAATAAATGTGTCGTGTAGAAAAAGAATTTGCCGGCGTTGACACACAAGCCAAACTTGGGGTTTGACAAAATATGAGAGCAATTTGTTGAGCTAATAATATTTTCTCAAAAAAGACTGGTCCGTGGCTAACAAGTCATTGGTAAGACGGCAGATTTATGCATTCAAATTTGAGAAACAAGATAAACGCTTGACTTCAGAAGACAATTCGAAAAAGCAGCGAGCAAAAACTCAACACTCTTGTATAACGGACTTTTGTTCAGTGCTCTTTCATCGACAAGTTTCCTGCAAAAATCTTTCTTTTTATTTTATAAATCTCACCATCTGTTTTCTAAACATCTAAAAGTCTGTAATTGATAGGACGTCGCAAAACAGCGATCACATCAATATTAGGCACTCATCCCAGTCTGGATCCATATACTGGTCATAGAATTCAAACATTTTAAGAAATACTAACCTAGAAATGAGCTAATATTTTAAGAAAGTTTATTTTTTTCCAATCGGTAGGAAAAGTGTGACGATGTACGCTGTGAAGAGAAAACCGCTGAAGGGTGTCTAGAGATGAGGTGGCAGCACTGGTGATGACGTCAGAACTTTTATCTCTATCCACGTGTGTGGTTCGTTCCCTTCACGCCTACCGGCCAGCGGATTTCGTGTCAAGAAATTTGGAGAGCTGCCAAAAAGACTTTCCAAGGCCATAGTCTTTTGTTCAATAACATAGTCATTGAGCGCGGTGCGATGTAACAGATTAACCAGTAAGAGAGAGAGAAGTAAAACGCCAGCTTTGAAGACCAAAAATAGATGTGCAAGTAGGGTTATGGTGGAACTTCATCTGTGGAGCTAGACGTAGTTTGCCTGCTCAAGAAATTATCCGCCTTCTGTGACAGTTGCACATTCATTACCCTATTCACAAAAGCGAACCACACGACCCTTTCCTGACCCAGAATAATCCATTTTACGTTCTCAAGCCACATGTCTTTGAGATACATTTTAATATTTTCCTCCCACATAAGCCTTGGTCTCCGAAATGGTTTATGTCTTTCAGAATTCAACTAAAACAAGGATAAATACATGACAATCTTAGCTTTCCTGTGTATACTACATGCCTCGTCCATCACACCCTCTTCGAATTGATCACTCCAATAATGCTGGGCTAAGAGCATTAACAAACAGCCCTTCGGCAAACAATGACAAGATGGGTGGGATACAAAATCCACAGTGACGTCACTAAAGTTTACAAACTTTATTTGGTTTTTCATTTAAGAAGTGTATTTAGTAGAATATCCGGGAAAATAATGCATTTCTCTTAGCAGTGTATGCTGATGATTAAATTCGTTAAATAGTAATTTGACTTATTAGGTTCCAAGCGGTATTCTGTATCAAGAAAAGTCCAGTGATGATAAATATTAGGTAGTGGTTGTGGAAAATTCAAATTGTGCTCTAAAATGGAATGCGTAGTAAGGATGTAAAAGGGATATTCAGCGGGAGGAGAGAAATTATTTTTGCAAGTTCATACACCTGGAAGTCAGCGGTGTAGGAATGACAAGGATCTGTTTGTAGAACGCACACCGCAGAGTCTTTGTTTCTGTTGTGTTCCGTCGGCAGTAGAAGCCGCGAAAGACTGTGATTGAAGTAGAAGTTTGTGCGTGGTTCTTATGCCTAATGTTTACATCAGTGAAATGTGAATAATGTGTGTCAGTTATCGCTAGCTACAACGTATGTGTGAATTTGTTTTTTCCACTCGGATGTATTAGTGGGCCGTTACTCATTTCGTACTTTTCCGTTGCCTGCGCCTTGTTGATGTACTTGGTTTCTTAATTACTGGAAACAAATATGGCGAATGGGATTCTTGTACGTAAGTACCGCAATAATTACAGTACTTTTCATGAACGTTATATCAGAATCCTTGTTTATAAAGAACAATGCATTGTACAAAAATGATTTTACAAAACATTAGGTCTGAACACCTGTAGCATTCAGATCCATCAGGGTTGTCCAAATCGTTTCTTTCATCTGGCAAAGAATAGTTTTCAAGTTGAACCCAAGCGCCAAGAAACCCCTCCTGGCACTATTTTGAAATCTAATAGCCTATTTCCGTTGTTGTTAACAAAAGCCTACTTATTTATAAATAACAAATTACCATACACATATTATTATCATTGTTGTTGGTATTATTATTTCCAATTTGCTTTTGTGTCAGCAAGTATCTGACACAGTGTTTACCCGGAAAACATTTTACGGCACGGTTATAAAGTCAGATTGTAGTAGCTAGTAACAAAATAATAAATAATATCAAGGTCCAGGTTAAAGCGAGCTGGATCTTGCCCAAGGGCTGCCAGTTGGACCAAGCTGTGATAAAGCATAACATTTCCTTTTGTGCATTGCCATTTTGAGCAATATTTATTAGCTTTGTTAACACAAATCATTGCTAGTATGGTGTCTTTCTTTGGCCCACTCAACTATTTATCTGTATATAGAGTGGATTGACATAAAGGATAATGTGTCAAAGGGATGAATGACCTTGTGATGACACACTGCATTTAACTGTGTTCAATAAGTGTCGCTTGAAGAAGAGTCGACTTTTCCAGGGGCCATATCATATGAACGGGGAGAATCATAACTGTGAACCTTTACAAATTCCAAGCTTAGTGCATCATTTTAGTGCCTTCTCATTCCCTCAGGGTTAGTTCAATTTGGATTCAAAGGAATCATGAATGAGATTACGGTTATGTCATTTAGTTTTCAGTGGGTATTCCAAGACTGTGTGGAGTTTAGAACTGAAATAGATCCCATTAAGAACCTAACCAAAGTGGCTAAATTTCCTGTGGGGATTCATAGATAGTTCAAGGTGAATTCTAAATGTGTTACATTTACATTGCGAAGTAATAAATTTTTACAATAATTAATACAAAATATTCAAAGGTTAACTGGGGTTGGATATAATATATATTACGTTAGATTATTTTGTATTGTTTTAATGGATCTCCTAAGAATAGGTTAAGTAGGTTTTCAATTAACTGCGTTTGATTGAGATTAATTTTATTGTATTTAAAATATGTATTTGTATATCAGCTCAAGTGCCATTTGAAAACTACATTGTCATAATTTGCAGCAGGTATACGAAGAACAATAGAAAATTAATTCTAAATTGGTTACATTAGATTGTGATTGAATAACTGGGTGCTTTAATTTTCAATAGGAATATATATTCCTCGATTGGAACATGTTGCTGTAATTTGGAACGTGCTTTTACCAATCCCCATCTTTTAATGGTTCTGATGTGACTGTATCCTCGGAAGTCGCCTGTGTGTCTGTTATACATGCGACTTCCGAGGATACAGTCACATCAGAACCCTTAAAAGATGGGGACAGAGTTTGTTCCCGAAACGTCGGTTTACTACGGTAACCAGCTAACGTGGCTGATTGCCCGAGAAGATTTTATTGATTGTACTCGCCGCGAAAGTCTCAAATCCTATAATGTAATGTGTTTTCCCGATATTTGCGTGTGCGGGCTGAGTAAAACCACGAAAGAACTTAAGTCAGGTTAGCTGGCCTGCGAGCCGAGAGCGATTTCTATGAATTTTGTCTGTTATCTGACTGTTTTTCTCGAGCTGCATATCTCGTTCGTAATTTAATAACCCAAACGATATTAAGTAAGGAATTAACAGTGCGTTAAGTTCGCTGTTACACAGTTAACCTTCAGGGTGGTTCTGAGTCTCAGGCGTCCTTGCTTGGAAGTGGAAAGCCAAGTTTCAGAATCGTACGCGCCAAACTTCAAGGTTTTGTAACACACGAATTAATTTAAATTCGACTGATTTCGGTTAGAATAATTCACATATTCTGTCGGCAGTTTAGCTTCGATTTAACTTGAATTGTTTTGTTACTGTTGAGTGGGTTGAAGCATTTTGAATTAATTTGTTTGCAAGTTGTGTTTAATTAATGCGTTGTGCATGTTGGCGTCAGATTGGATCGTCACATTTTATTCATATTAATTCTGAGTTGTTAAACATTCCTTTATGATTGATGCCGTTAAATTTCCTTATTAAGGCCGAACATTACTTATTGATGATACGTGTAATTTATGTTGACTAACACTTTGAATCCCAACGATAGTTACCTGCTTCAACAATCAACAACAGTTCATTTAGTATTTATGGGCTTTGAATAATTTTCATAAATGTGATGTTTTCTTTGAGGTACGGAATGAATTCTTAAATATTATTTAGATGTGCTTTCGATTCAAAGTGTGACACGCATAAGGTGGAACATGTTCACTGAATTGTTCCTTAGTATTTTAGACTACGCTCAGGCATCTTCAAGCCGGACAATAGTAGAAATGTCTACTTCAATTTGTCGTAGTTTCTCCCAAATTCATGCATTCATCCATTTACGCTAACGTAGAAGTTGAAGTGAATCTAATTTCGACGGTGCTTTGTTAACTACATAAGCTCTACGTGTTGAAATCTTTGATAATTAACGTTGGTAACGGATTAATCGTGACGTGTTTTAAGCCATTATCTGGCATTGGCCTGGAGAGTCTGGAGATGTTCGATTATTGAAGTTACAAATGTTTTCAACCCAAAGAAATTTTGGAGTTTAAACACAAGGACGGACATGATAGTAACGCATTTAGCCATGCGTCTAATTGTAGGGAGAAATACGTCTTGAACGTATATATAAACTAGCACAAAGTTCTGTCGTTTCTCCTCTTACAGTTCAAAGCGAGCCGTTTCAGGAATGCACCACGATATACAGAGTGTCCCATGAATTCCTAGATTCAGCGAAAATTCGGTTATTTGACAAAAAACCGGGAAAATGTAAGGGCGAAAAAGTTGTTAAAATATTGTGTTTTAGATCTTTAACGTTGTAATTTATTACCTGGCTGTTACGGGTGCTACGCTATTTATATTATGAATAATAAAATTGTCAGTAGAACCAAGGTTCATGAGCAGGATCCTTCCATCCTTTTCTCGGATTGGGACCTGTTCATATACGTTCTTGGCAGATGATCCAGAAGTGGTTTGCCGTTGCCTTCTTCTGTGTGTGAATGGAGTAATTGTTGGGATGCCACGGAGAAACCGGGGAAGCCCCCGGAGGAAAACTCCGTGTTGCCTAGACCACGGCCTTGCCCAACACAAGTTATAAATTCGGGCACCGCCGGAAATCGAACCCGAGACCCCAGGATTACAAGGCCAGCGTTCTAACCGCTAAACCACCGTGGTAGTTGAATGTAATGTAAAGTAATGTAATGTAATGAAATTTAATGTAACGTTTCCTAGGTAACCATCTTACACATTTTGCTGTCACTTTTTCGTAACACTATTTTGCGGAATGACACTGGACCCTTCCATATAGACGTATTTACGTCAAAAATCATAGCGATGATGGCAAGTTGACAACGAAACAGGGATGTATTTCCAGAATTTTGTATAATTCTCTGGCCTTCCAATTACGCTGCGAACGTCAACTTGGTAACAGTACCGGCTTGCACAGGACAAAAGATCCCAACACTTGAGGCTGGGAACACATCATATGTGTTTAATAACAACTTTTACTTCATTGCATAGTTTCGTATTTTGCGAAATGAGTTCTCGTGTGGCGTAGGGGACTTGCGGGACACCTGTGTGCGTCAGAGACAACAGCTTTTCGTTCGATCGGTCGACATAAGCCGGGAGTCGTGGTGGCAAATGGCAGTGGAGTTCTGTCACCTGCCTCCACTAGCCTTCCTTATTCGACAGCCAGCCCTGTCGTATCCCCAGGGAGAAGACAGATGGTCACCAGGGTTAAGAGTTTAACAAAACGTCTGTTATGAAGAACAGAAGTAGCTTGTAATTGCACGCACGAAACTTTGAACTGTTTTTAAACGGTGTTTATTGAAGCTTTTCTGATTTTATATGAATGGTTCACGAAGGAATTTTAATCGATGATGGCTGCCATATAGAACGCAGCGCCGTGTAATCTGGTAGAAGTTTACCGACGTCTCAGAGGTAATTTATGCGCCCTGATGATTAAGGCAAAAAGGACCTCTGAAACGTCGGTAAACTTCTGCCAGACTATACGGAGCTGCAATCCACATGACATTTTTTTTCCATAACGAGCCAGATAGGCGCTAGGGAAAATTATATCGTACAGTCTGCAGGCTGCGCGAGCTCCTACTTTACCGAAACGTCGACTAAATAATGAAATTAAGTTATAACGATAGTAGTCAGATAACAAAGCATTCTGATGAAAATCGACTTTTCGAGTGAAATGATTTCAGTTTTACAGTGTTGATGCAGGGTGTTAAAAAAATTACTTCACATGTAAACGGATATTATTGGACGAGGATAAAAAGTGCCAAATGTTAGACAGATTTGTTTAGAATAATGTGATGGTATCTTAGCGTACTAAATTGGTGTGTATATTAAATCTTGTCCGTCTAATCACAATAAATTCTTATTAAATATTAAAATATTACAATAATTAACATTTAAAATATTTAAAATTATTAAATGATGTTCTTTATCGAAATATTCGATTTACATTAGACCATGATTTTTCATGTTTCACGACATGTTTCAGTTCCTAAAAGAACCATCCTCAGGTGTATATAATTATATAAAGCTTCAAAACGATAAATAATTTCAAATACAAGTTTCATACATTATGCTAGCGTGCATTTTTATTAGATTTTTACCAGATATCAAACTATGTTCTTTTTCAGATAAGGAAAACTAAAAACTTTGAGTTCAAAATTTACAGAAAACCCACTACCACAAGTACCATAATTCATGCTTCATCTTGCCACCCTATTGAACAAAAAAGAATGACCATTAATTATTTAATAAACAGGAAAAATCTATACCCAATAAGCAA